AATATTCTCAGTAGTGGCACACAGTCTGGAATTGTGTCCGGTATAGGCTCACCCCCTATTACATGGGACTCATTACATAAATAGTAAAAAGTGGGTGTTACATTGTACAGTGGCATTAAGTGCCGGAATGTGCACCTCTGTTTTCCACTTCGGGGATAAAAGGCGTGATGTTATGTTATGTAATAAGACCAACATTATTAGTAAAGAGATAGGCAGGATTCATCATCAACAGCTTATAAATGCCCACTGCTGAACTAAGCCTCTTCTCACATAGAGAAGGTTTGAGCATTAATTACCACGCTTGCTCAATGCGGATTGGGTTGGTAGGCAGGATTGTTATTTTAAGAGTAGGTATTGTTAGTAATATGGTTAATTCGCGGTTATTGAATACCAGTGCTTGGGAATCAAATACCGAATGAGAATACTTCACTGAAATCAATTGCAAATTTAGTATTATTTAGTGCAGATATTTGAAATAGGAGTTCAGATCATTTTGTGTTGGATTCCTGTGCAGAACTAATTAATGCATAACCTCAACTCCTGATTGTTGATAATTTCGAAAACTAACGATTTAACTAACTAACTAGAAATCGCGGGTTTTAACAGATTTTTAGTTAATTTAGTATGTCTTACGATAGTTATTATAAAAACAAAACTAACTATTTATTTTGTTACTAGCTACTTCCGCGCGGTTTCACACGCTCTGCTCAGCACCTATTGGTCGTAGCGTGATGTTTTATAGCCTATAGCCATCCTCGATAAATGCGCTATCCAAAACAAAAAGAATTATTCAAATCAGACTTGTAGTTACGGAGATTAGCGCGTTCAAACAAACAAACAAACAAACTCTTCCGCTTTATACAGTATAATAGTATAAGATTACTCAAACCTCAATCCTCCTAGTTTGACAGACACTACAAAAATCTCTAAAGTTATGAACAATAATCTTTTTGCTCTACCCAAGAAACGAACCTCAATCCTCCGAATTTCATAGACACCACAAAAATCTCTAAAGTTATGAAATAAACCCAACAAGAATCGACCCTAAACGTCTCAGTTGGAGAACCTAACGGGTAACCGGCTCGACGTGCAGGAGAAGGAACGGGGTGGTTTTTAGTCAGTAAGAGTCTGACACTCCCTCCCGCCTCACCCAGGCGGGAGCAGTCATTCGATGATTTTCCCTTAAAAAAAAAGTCCCAGTTTCAAATGTCCAAAGTCACGTGTGAACTAAAATCGTATGTAGGCGTTACAACTACCGAAACTAGACCAGGAGCCCGCCACTTAATTTAAGACGTCTTATAATTAAAGTCATTAAACTTGTGTCGCTTGGAATTGATACTAACATGGGATTGGCCCCAATTGGCTGGACACCAGGAATGGTCAACCTACATGCCATATTGGTATTTTTTTTTATGGAATATTGGTATTTTTTTATGCAAACGAGCTGATGGATCACCTGATGGTAAGCGATCAGCGCCGCCCATGGACACTCGCAACACCAGAGGAGTCACAAGTGCGTTGCCGGCCTTTTAAAAAGGAGTACGCTCTTTTCTTGAAAGTTTTTTTTAAGACATTGTTTTTGAAGTCACAGTAGCTACATGTACCACCATACCCAAGCCATACCACCAAAATTAATAACATGTATTTTTTTTATGGCATAAGCCGATAAACGAGCAGTCGGATCACCTGATGGTAAGCAATCGGCACCGCCCATGGACACAAACACCAAGGCGTTACAAGTGCGTTACCGCCCTTTTGGGAATTGGAAATTTGAGGATTGTGGAGATTCGGGGATTCGGGAGACTAGGGAGGAAGGTAATTGGGCCTTCAGTTTCCATCAGTGCCAAAAAGTTGCGTTATGTGACAACAGTTGACCAGCCCTGTCCTAGACTAATTCACACGAGTTTTTTTGACATAAGTCATCAATTGACGTTGCAGATGATGAGGCTGTCATGTGATCAGACTCTCGGATTATTTTGTTAGATGACTGACGTTTTTTTTGGATGATTTAATTAGAATTGTTGTCTGTGTATTTGTTCGTTTGCGTGCATATGCACTTAACTTATCGAAGAAGGAAGATTAAAAAGTAAAAATTAACCCTTTGAGTACCGTCATTATAGACACAATTAAAGAACAATAGGTCGCGGTCACCGGTGTCCTCGCGGTGTTTGACAGTTTAAGTTAAAATATTAATTTTCATAAAAACCAACAACAAGTTTTTCAAAGTAGAATTCCGAAAACTGAGAATACAAAAGAGAGACTGCCACAGCGGCCGAATGGCTGCAAGGGTTTTCATACTAATAAAAAAACTAATTCAATGGCGTAACAACGACGATCTAAAATTTTAAATGGAAACCAATTAATTCTCCAAAATAACCAAAAAAACTAATCAACAATAAAATAAATACCCAACAAAACGAATAAACCGAAATTGATAAAATTAACCATAAACTATAGCTTCACCAATCCATGTCAACTACAAACGAGTTTGTTTATCGTCCACTCATTGTCTATGGTTGCGCTCTACTTGTCTCTGAGTCACATCCGGCAGCCATAATGTCGGTATTTATGGTACATGTATCTTCAAGACTCTTATAAGGTAGGTATAGGCAGGGTAATGATATATTGTGTGTGTTTCGGTTCAGGAGAGTATTTTTTAATAAAACGATTGGCCCAGTTCAGACGTTCAGGGGAATTGCACAACTTGATACCCCCTAGTCCTTTCCATCATCGTACCACAAGACAATCGGCGAAGCGTCACCGGTTCATGGTAGATGTCCCACCCACACGCACGAAGCGCTTCGCTTCAAGCTTCCTTGTGCGTACTGCTAAAGAGTGGAATTCTTTGCCGGAGTCTGTATTTGCTGAAGGGTATAACCTGGGAGTCTTCAAGGCCCAAGTGAATAGGTTGCTTATGGGACGACGTGCTCCATCGTAGACCGCATCATCGCTTACCACCAGCGAGATAGTGGGCAAACGTCGCCCCGTCAAATAAAAAAAAGACGATGACGTTTTTTGTTTAAGGTTCAAGCTCCTCTGCTTACCCCTTGGAGACAAGTCGACGTTTATGTATTACCTGTAACAAAAATAGAATAATAATCATTAGGTGTTTGTGTCAAATAAATATCAAACATATAAATTAATCACTAATACACTATACAATACATATCAATAATAACACTTTGAATTACATAATTTTGTTATTCAAAGCCCAATAATATTTTGTCTAACCTGTTAATCGAACCTGAAACCCTTTGCTATCGCATTTACAGTTCGAAGTTCAACTTAAAATATTATAAAACAATCTAAGAATCGAATCTGAAACTCTCTGAGTCCAAGTTACAGTTCAAATACGGTAGCAACATATTTTGTTTGGAATTGTGCCCGGTATATGGCAATAGGCTCACCCCCTATTACATGGGACTCATAAACATAAAAAGTGAAAAGTGAGTGTTACCTCTGTTTGCACCTCTGCCTACCCCATCAGGGGTAAAAGGCGTGATTTTATGTAAAAATATTTCAATAAATACAACAAAACTGATTTCTGATGGCTCTACAAAAACAAAATACATTCAATACACAATAATAATACCCAATATATACATACAATAATACCCAGTTCTGTGAACTAATATGTTTCATGGAATGCAATAGAAATTAAAATATGAATACACATATAATAATATACTCATTTCAAATTGCAATTTTTAATAAAAAGAATTTATTCACGTCAAATTTTCAGTGCAAACAAATTTGTATTTTATTTTTTATGCAATACGAGTGGGTTTTCAATCTAACTAATTGTAGCTACATAGGTATTATTAATTTTCGAGGAATAAAAATTGTAGTTCATATTTTATATCTGTGTTCAATTTTTTTATAATTATGTTGTTATTGATACCAAATTTCGTTCGATAATCTATAATAACATCTGTGCATTTTGAAAAAAAAATACGTGTCGAATATTCTGCCTCGTTGGCCGAGTGGTCGCAAGTGCGACGAGGCAAGGGATCTCGGGTTCGATTACCGGGTCGGGCAAAGTATTACTGGGTTTTTAAAAAAATCTCAGTAGTAGCACGGAGTGCGGAATAGTGCACGGTATATGGCTATAGGCTCACCCCCTATTACATGGGACTCATATCATAAATAGTGAAAAGTGGGTGTTACATTGTACAGTGGTATAATATGCACCTCTGCCTACCCCCTCGGGGATAAAAGGCGTGATGTTATGTAATACGTATGTTAAAGTAAACCATAATTTGATACTTTTGAAACGTCAACAAATACAACATAAATAATAGTTTGGCAGTCTGTCCGTCAGTGAAGTTAAGTGCTCATTCCAAAATTACATTATACAGTGGCATTAGGTGCCATAATGTGCTCCTTTACCTACCCCTTCGGGGATAAAAAGGCGCGAAGGTATTTTATGTTAATTATCACCTAACTGACGGACTATTTCTAATTCTTATACCCCGTCATCGTCCCTATTCACATGTATATAGCACATGGCACATGTATATTTCATAAAAAAATCAAATCAACTATTAACATACAATCTACATTCTATTACTGAACTAAATCTAGGTTTAACCTTGACGTTTCTAAGTTCTTGATTTTAAGGTTCAAAATGCCATATCATCTATTTTCTAATAAATAAGTAAATAGCGTGATAGTGCCACATATAACATTGACCTTCAATTATTTTTAATATAAGAACTGAATATAAAAATAGTATAAAATTAGAATTATTTGACATATTAGAAATATTAAGTGTGGGAGAGCCATGCTTCGGCACGAATGGGCCGGCTCGACCGGAGTGATACCATGGCCGAGCAGAAAACAGACGTGAAGCAACGCTTGCGTTGTGTTTCGTCGTGTAAGTGAGGTTACCGGAGGCCCAATTACCCTCCCCTTCCCCAATCTCCCCGATCCACAACAATCCTCAAACTCCTAATCCCCAAAAAGCCGGTAACGCACTTGTAACGCCTTTGATGTTCCAGGTGTCCATGGGCGACGCCGATTGCTTACCATCAGGTGATCCATCTGCTCGTTTACCGGCTTATCCCATAAAAAAAAACAAAATAAATAGCAAAAAGCGCAGATCACTCTATCACAATACAAAGTATGAAAGTTCACGTCACCCACACGAGTACAGACGCATATAAAAGCATTGTCATGTTCCAACAGTAGCAGCGAACTTGTTATAAAATTTAACGAGTGCGTTTTGTTTCTATATTCGCAACTTTCTAGCACTTTTGTAAGCAACTGTACGGTGGAATAAAATGGCGACGAATCGAGTAGTGTAAGGGACAAAATTGTGTACTGTGTACATAGTTTTTGTATCAATATTCTTCCTGCGGCTCTCGTGAACGGTTTAAATATTTTATGCCGGCAAAACCAACTGACGGATCACCTGATGGTAAGCATTTAGCACCGCCCATGGACACCCACAGCGCAAGAGGAGTTATAACTGATTTGCCGATTTAGGTAGTTAGGGCCGAATTTGATCATTGACTAGATTTTAGTGTTACATTGTTCTCGCACAATCCAAACAACAAAACTATGTAACTAGTAAATTGTATTGTGAACCTGATTGGAAAAGAATAACCTATAGAGTTTCTTGCTCGTTCTTCTCCATAGGAATCTACACCTTGGAATGAGCAAATAGCTTCACTTTTAATTTTTTGTTGACGTTCAAAAGTGCCTTTCTGGTCTAATTGAAATAAATGATTTTGACTTTGACTTTAAATTTGAGAGACAAAGACTGGACAGTAGCGTTATCTGATAAACCTAATCCATTTAAATTGTAATCTCCAACCTGTTAATCAAGCGAGAGACTATGGAAAACCTCCTTTTGTGGAGGAGGCTCATAGTCATAGTACATAGCAGTAAACTGTCACCCGTTGTTGATGATGATGCGTTTTGTTCCTACATTTTCATCTTTCTAGCACTTTTGTGTTTGACGGTACTTTGTTTGGAACAAAACGCTTTGAAGCGAGAGGTGTTCAAGACAAATGTAACATGTTAGTTGCAGTTAGACTGAGAGCGCTACAAGTTCATTGAATTTTTCTGTTTATTGCACATTTTGTGCTCCTAAGAGAGTATTGAGAACTACGGAATATAATGTGTTTGTAACTATGTGATGGAAGCTAAAGAAGTATGTTAGGAGCGTAGTACGTGGCGCTCTGTAGTTTCTGTATACCATCAGATGTATGAATGTGATGGAAGCTAAAGAAGTATGTTAGGAGCGTAGTACGTGGCGCTCTGTAGTTTCTGTATACCATCAGATGTATGAATGTGATGGAAGCTACAGAAGTATGTAAGGAGCGTAGTAGGTGGCGCTCTGTAGTTTCTGTATACCATCAGATTTATGAATGTGATGGAAGCTAAAGAAGTATGTAAGGAGCGTAGTAGGTGCCGCTCTGTAGTTTCTGTATACCATCAGATGTATGAATGTGATGGAAGCTAAAGAAGTATGTAAGGAGCGTAGTAGGTGGCGCTCTGTAGTTTCTGTATACCATCAGATGTATGAATGTGATGGAAGCTAAAGAAGTATGTAAGGAGCGTAGTAGGTGCGCTCTGTAGTCCACTGGAGCTGCTGTTTACATGCGAACATTAGCTCATGACGATACCTGAGTACGTGTGTCGCCTGGACAGTCAACCTCGCTACATCCTAGTTGACTGGACATCTACACTACATGAGCTGCTGTTTACATGTGAACATTAGCTCATGACGATACCTGAGTACGTGTGTCGCCTGGACAGTCAACCTCGCTACATCCTAGTTGACTGGACATCTACACTACATGAGCTGCTGTTTACATGTGAACATTAGCTCATGACGATACCTAAGTACGTGTGTCGCCTGGACAGTCAACCTCGCTACATCCTTGTTGACTGGACATCTACACTACATGAGCTGCTGTTTACATGTGAACATTAGCTCATGACGATACCTAAGTACGTGTGTCGCCTGGACAGTCAACCTCGCTACATCCTTGTTGACTGGACATCTACACTACATGAGCTGCTGTTTACATGTGAACATTAGCTCATGACGATACCTAAGTACGTGTGTCGCCTGGACAGTCAACCTCGCTACATCCTTGTTGACTGGACATCTACACTACATGAGCTGCTGTTTACATGTGAACATTAGCTCATGACGATACCTAAGTACGTGTGTCGCCTGGACAGTCAACCTCGCTACATCCTTGTTGACTGGACATCTACACTACATGAGCTGCTGTTTACATGTGAACATTAGCTCATGACGATACCTAAGTACGTGTGTCGCCTGGACAGTCAACCTCGCTACATCCTTGTTGACTGGACATCTACACTACATGAGCTAATGTTCACATGTAAACAGCAGCTCATGACGATACCTAAGTACGTGTGTCGCCTGGACAGTCAACCTCGCTACATCCTTGTTGACTGGACATCTACATAACATGAGCTGCTGTTTACATGTGAACATTAGCTCATGACGATACCTAAGTACGTGTGTCGCCTGGACAGTCAACCTCGCTACATCCTTGTTGACTGGACATCTACACTACATGAGCTGCTGTTTACATGTGAACATTAGCTCATGACGATACCTAAGTACGTGTGTCGCCTGGACAGTCAACCTCGCTACATCCTTGTTGACTGGACATCTACACTACATGAGCTGCTGTTTACATGTGAACATTAGCTCATGACGATACCTAAGTACGTGTGTCGCCTGGACAGTCAACCTCGCTACATCCTTGTTGACTGGACATCTACACTACATGAGCTGCTGTTTACATGTGAACATTAGCTCATGACGATACCAAAGTACGTGTGTCGCCTGGACAGTCAGTTGGGCGATACCACTGTCACAATAAACAGTAAGTGGACTGGCCCACTCCCTCGTGACCTCATTGTGTCCAACTCGACACGACATGTATTTTTATTTCATTAGTAGAAATATTTCAGCAGTTTGCATTTGTTTATTGGTCGTATTTTTATTTAGGTTAGCTTCGCCTTGGCATGTTTAAATAAAGGGTATTTTTATGGAGGTAAACGAGCAGATAGATCACCTAATGGTAAGCAATTGGCGCCTCTGCCTACCCTCTTCGGGATAAAAGGCGTGATGTTATGTTACTGTTTAATGTGCAGTCGCGTGGCGACGGCAGACTAGATTTAAGTTACTACAGCACTTCTCTTTTCGCGGGTGTCGCACACCCGAATAAGGTACTGCATATTTAACAGAGCGTGCAGTAGCGCTCTCTGATGCACCTGAATGTCCGAAATTGCTAACTCCAACCAGCTTGCCAGGTGTGGAGATTATGAAACACTCACTAAGTGACTACAAATTCATACAGACCGGGTGGCAGAGTTATTTGATAAACCTTTTAAGCTATCTCCAACCAGCCCGCTAAGCTTGGAGATTATTGAACACACACTGTTATTTTTCATCAGAAGTATTACTTACTGAACACCAAAAATAAAAATAAAAGGATGTGACGTCATAATGTTAATAACTTAACTCAACCCGGAAATCGAACCGAAAACATAGACAATCAACTTGTTCATTTTCAGTTTTTTCAGTAAAACATTGCCCCTAAGGTATTATTACATTATTACGTGGACAGAGGCGCGCCCTGGTGTCGGTGACCGGACGCTCCTCTGACCTCCAACCTCGCTAATGTAGGTACGACACCTATTTGACTAACTCAACTTTAACGATGTCGCTTGAAACACTGAAAGCCTAGGTGTTTCATTACATGACGGGTTTTCGGCCAATGTGACATTCTCCGCTTCTCATACATAAGGTTGCTGGTTCGAAACCTACCAACGGCAAGTACCAATGTGACTTTTTCCCAGTTATACAAAGTGTAGTTTTGAAGCCGTGTCATTTCTCGGGGGCATGTCACAGAAGTCATAAAGGTTCAATGTAAGAGAAAATTTCGGGGCAATAGTTAAAAATACGGCTATAATAAATAGTAAGTTCGACAGTATTTCAGAATAAGCGATAGCAATGTTTCTTATTGGAGTTTTATGGAATTAGGAATAATATCAATTAAGTGTTTGAGTTTGTGTGTGTTAAGCCGCGTTATAAAGCTAGTTACGTAATTTCAGAAAAATGGAAAATATTTACCTACAATTTTTTTTATTGATTCGGACTCAGAATCGGTAGCAGAGTTACCTCCTAGAAAATGACGCGGCTTTAAAACAACACCTTGTATGTACTTTCTAAGATTATTTAGACACCACTGACAAACGGTGAAGGAAAACATCGTGAGGAAACCTGGGCTTATAATTTGTAATTGTAAGTTTGAAATCGCTCTCGCATTGAGCAAGCGTGGTGAGTAATGCTCAAACCTTCTCCGTGTGAGAAGAGGTCTTTGGTCAGCTGTGGGGTGTATATAGGCTGTTGATATCTAATGTGATGGAACACGTTTTTTGTAGGTGATAATTTACTACTTTTATTGTTATTGATAGGTATTATTATTATTAAGTTGACTCATTTTTTTTTAAGGGAGGAAAATCATCGAATTACTGCTCCCGCCTGGGTGAGGCAGGAGGGAGTGTCAGACTCTTACTGACTAATAACCACCCCGTTCCTACTCCTGCACGTCGAGCCGGAGCCCCGGTAACCCGTTAGGTTCTGACTGTGAAATAGGTAAGGTGGAAGGCCTTTATCTATCTAAGAAGGCTTTACCACCTGAACGCTTGGTAATTGAGTTGGAGATCGCAGTATAAAAGGTTCAGGTTTATCAGAGAGCGCTGCTGCCCGGTCTCTGTCTAATGTGTAGTCCCTTAGTCGGGTATACGATACCCGCGGGAAGAGTCGCGGTGGAATTTATTGTACTCTGCCGTTACCACACGGCCTAACCACTATTTAATAGAAATGCGATATTTTGTATGTCTGTTTGCTGAAGGGATCGGGATGAAATTTGGAATAGAGGTAGATATAGACGCGGGTGAAGCCGCTAGCGAAAGCTAGTAAGTAAATATAATAAAAACATCACCTAATTTGTCACAGAACACACCTTCAAAAAAGTGGGTTAACGTTA